GAGAGGTCAACATCATTTTGAAGCCACAGTTGTGAAGTCCGGCGGTCGAGCGCGACCCAGTCGTCGCCCGACCTGGTGCGACATGAGCAATCCAGGCGCGTAACGCGGCGTCATCTCTTTTAAAGTAGTGGCGGCTAACGAGGTCCACGACTTGGTCCTTAAGAGTTGGATGGGGGCTCGCTCCGAGCAGAACTTGGTCCATCTTCTCCGAGGGCTTGTCGACATACGTGGTGAGGAGCATTTTCTGGAGACAACGCAAGTCGGCCCCCAGCCTCTTGTCTTGGGCCGAGATGGCGTTGAACTCGGTCGGGTGCTTGACGGGTGTCGCGTAGGTGGCTGCCGGGATGCGTGTGGGGTTCATGAGGTCGACCATGATCCGGTGGGCCATGATATCGCGGGTGTCGAGGTGATGTTCGTATCGGAAGAAGCGCAAGTTGGGGATGTCGAGTGGTAGTGGCGCGTGGGAGGGCGGCGAGGAGTATTCGGTGGCGCGGAAGCGCTCGCCGCGCGCCGGCTTGGTTTGATATCATGGCCGTTCCATGCCATGAAGTTGGCTGCCATGGGAGGCGACCGGGAAGAGATCTGGTTTTCGATATCCTCGGTCGATGGGCAGAGGGATGGGAGCTGCTTCGGGGGCCGGGGCCAGATAATGGGTTGTAGAATACCTAGTTGAAAGCTATGGTAAAAGGGATGCTGTAATACGCAAAGCCCAGGAGGCTGGAGAGAAATGTTCAAGTTCAAGTGTTTGGGCGAGTTGGAACTGCAAAGGTTGGGTCGACGTCGAGGAAGCATCCAAGTTACAGGGTCTATTGCCTGCCGAGTGCACTGTCTATGCTGGTGCTCACACGGGGGGGGCAATCGGCAACTGCCGACAGGGCTGGCTGCAAGGGAGGTGGGGGCCTGAAATTGGGAAAGGTGCCTGTTCAACTGTCCAGCGTCCACTCCATGTCCTCTACAGCAGTCACAAAAAAATCCAACGTCCCAGAAATGCAACCTTAACTCGACGTCCAAACCGACTTGCCATGCTAAACCTGGGGCATTAATGCGTCTTCATCTCGTCCAATACTCTATCACCAACCGCCTTCTTTCCCTAGATGAAATACTGGACGTCATCCATCATGTCCCCCCGGTACTCGACCCAGTCCACGCCCACTCTTCTCCCTCGCGACTCGCCCACAATGGTCCCGAACCGGTACTTGGCCCCCATCTCGCACACCCTGCCATCCCTCTCGTCCTTGGGCAGCACGCTCAACCCCTCGAACCCCGCCAGCATCTTGGAGTCGTGCACGTAAAACACGGCTCCTGCAATGGTGCTCGGGTCAACGGGCATATGCGGCCACGTCATGAAGAAGCTCCAGACAACCACCACCCACATCAGCAGCAGCGATGTCACCGTCAGCCACATGCAGGCCTCGTGCGCCGCGTATGTCTGCGTGATCTGGAACGGCACGTTGCTGAGCAGAATCGTCATAAACTCGGACACGATGGACGTGAGGCCGACGACGGCAAGAAAGTACTGTCGCCGTTGGATGGCGCTCCAGATGCCCATGCCCGCGACCGCGTGCGGTGGCGACGACAGCAGCAGCGATCTCTCGGCAGACTGCGGGCCCTGCGCGAGGGCATGGTAGGGGCTTAGGATGGTCAGGCCTGGATATTGTCAGTCACTCGTCCCCCTGCACGGCCGCTCCTCGCAGAAGACTTACTGTTGAAGAAGGCGCTCCAGTAAAAGGTGATGGTGATGCCTACCAAGGCAAACAGAGCAGTCACCCCAAAGTCCTGCGCATCCATAAACCTCTCGAATGGTGTGTCAAGGTTGGTCCGGGCGTAGTATATCACCACGACCAAGAGGAAAGTCACAAAGGCCAAAAAGACGAGCCGCCACCTGTACGACAGCATGAGGAAGGGCAGGTGGTGCTCCCTCCGCACGCTCTCAATACCGTCCCTTGGTCTATGCGTCTCCCACCGACTCATCCTGGCGTATATGCTCTCCTTGATGCCGGGCTTCCGCGGCCCGGTCCCGTCGACCTCGCGCTGGACCACAATGCCGTACTCGGGCGTTCCGTTCTCGCCCGTAAAGTAATCCAGCCGGAACGCCTTGCCCTCAAAGGCTTCGAGGAGCCTTTTTCGATCGATACCTCCTGTTATTCCCCTCGGGAGGGAGGCGAAAAGGGCCCTAAAGTCCTCGTTCATCGAAAGCGACGACACGCCGGCGATTGTCCAAGGGTTCGCCGCCACGCCAGAGCGCCATTTGCTGAGAATGACCAAGATGGCGACGACGAGGACCGCCATAAACACCAGCAGCCCGATCAGGGCCTTGGCCGGTCCGAGAAACACCCCAAGCGACATGGCGCAACCCCGGAAGTCGGTGTCGGTGCAATTGCCGTGCACCTTGAGGGCGACGGCCTCTGCAGACAAGGGCACCAGGGCGACGGAACACAGGATCAGCAATGTCGTCAGAAAGATCAGCCCCTGCCCTCGCATCACGGCGCGTATGCTCGAACGGATGCCGAACAGGCCGCCAGTCCTTAGACACAATGACTCGGCGGCAGTGGCGCCGTTGGGCCGGGTCAGCTCATGCCACGGTTGGAGCTGCTTCGCGCCCATGTCGATCATCCGGATGGGGATGGTGAGCAAGCTGGTGATGATGGTGGGCAGGAAGAGGCCGACAAAGTAGGCGCCGTGCGAAACTTGGTACACCTTGGCAGGTCTTCCCGGGCCAGCCGTCCCCGTGGGGAAGGTGGGATATTCGGTCACCGTGGTCGGCGTGCCCCGGGCATCGGTATAGGTCACGACCCTCGGCGTGGCCAGGACATTCGTCACGACGGTGGCTGTTTCGGCACCGTCCGGTCCCGTCAGCGTCGTGACAGTCGGTATCATGATTGGCCGCGGCGTGACGGTGGAAGTGGCCGTCACGACTCCCCGCTCGTCTGTCAGGCTTATCACCGACGGCGTGACATAAGATGGCGTGACTGTGGAGATTACCAGCATTGTCCTGGTTGCGATTGGAGATCCGCTCGCGTTGAGGACTATCGAAACTGACGTCGTCGCAGAGACGGAGACGAGTTCTTCCACCTCCAGCCTGGTACGCACTAAATTCGTGGTGGGCGCTGGATTTTGTGGGGGAGGCGGGATTGGTGCCGGAGGTGGCGAGGGAGCCGGCGCCGGAGCCTGGGTTGGTCCTGGGGCCGGTGTTGGGGATGGCGATGGCGCTGGCGCTGGCGCAACTGACAGTGGCACGGCAGTCACGCTGGTGGGTAGGGGAATCGAGATTACGACACCATCCATGCCGCCGACTGGCAGTACCACTGGGGGCTCGCTGGGTGCTGCCGGTGCTGGAGTGGTTGTGATGGCGACCTCAGCGGTTGTCGTCCTCACTTGTTGCGGCGCGCTTGATACAAGCGACGCACCGAGGTCTGCGTGCTTTCCCTCGTCAAGACCTGGGTCAACAGGTAGCGCCGCCGGCGTGGAAGAGGCACCGAATAGGCACGCCGCCCGCTTGGTGTTCCTGATCCCCCCGTCGTCCTTCTGGAAAGGCCAGATACTGTCGCTTCTGGCCTGTCGTTTCCTCCTTTTATGGCAGGCGGCGGTGTCGAACAATGCTGGCATGTCGCACTGACAATCCAGGCCCCCCAGGCCCCAGTCTGACCACGCTTGCCGTGGACTCAACGAAGAGGCCGATGATGTGTTGGTCGCTTGGGTGGGCACCCTCGAGATGGCGGAGCGATCTGTCTCGGAGGGCAGGGCCAAGCAAGCCGCCGCCACGACTCCGATCAAGACTAGGAGGGTCGCCGCGGTGCCTGTCAGGAAAGGCCATCGAAGCGCTGCCGGCTTGTAGTCATGCGAGGGTTTTCGAGGCGGGAGGACGATGGGATGGAGCTGGACAAAGGGCTTGGGCGGTTTCTCCGGAGCGGCTGCCCGATATCCAGCTTCATCTTTCCAGACAGACGACGAATCCATCGTGGTGGACAGACGGGCTCTCAGAGATGCGCACTCCTCGGACGGCGCGACCGCATGCTAGGCGTGGGGAAGAGAAAGACGACTTGGGGTCCGTCGGGAGAGAGGTGTCACCGGCGGCGATCGGTCTCTGCCATGGTGTTTATCCATGTCGGTCCTTCCCCGCCAGCGGCTCCCGCCTATGAGCGCGACCAAGGTTTAGACCAAACCTGGGGACGGCAGGCATAAGATTTGCAGACGGTAACATAGTGCCAAGTGTTCGCTGCTCGCAACGTCTGGGGGCCGGGTAACAAAGAGGGAGGTCACCTCAACTTCACCCGGGCCGGGAGTTGACAGAGTGCGGGTTGAGATGGCCGCGATACCCCATTGGTCTGCGCCCCCCGGGACTGCAGCGGCTCAATCACTTTTGGCCGGGGGCGTCGGTGTTTTCCCACGTACGGTATACTGGGACACAGAGCCGCCAAGCAAGTCTCTCTCGTGTGTGTGTGTATAGCCGGTGGCCAGAGCCATCTGGCGGTTTCCCCGATGTCTTTTGAACTGAGATCCGCCGGATGAGGTGACTGAACCCCCCCCCCCTGGTGAGCACACCTCCATCCCCATTACACTTTTACCAGTGCCCACCCCCATTTCCCTTTCCCAGCAAAGAGAAAAGAACACCACCAACATCAATAACACAACAACCCACCCCATAGTCCCCTCGCTGCCAGGACGGGATCCCACCACCCTGCCGCCGTCGGTAACACCGATGGCCCCCTGCAACCGCCCTCGCCCATTGCGTGATGGATGATGCCTGCCTGCCTGCCTTGAGCAAGGATTTTGCCCAGCCCGTTTGTAGATACCTGACGGCATATAACACCATCACCTCATATCAATCTGAGCCAGCAGGTTTGGCGCGGCTGACAAGACGTCACGGGGAGAGGGGCAGCCGGCCTCCCCACCTACTCTCGGCATACCTACTCAGGCAGACTCTTCCGAGACTGAAAATTGAAGACGGGAAGTAGGCCAAAAAGAATGACCTTGTCCAGATGGACTGGAATACCGTGTGTTGGAGGAGCTGGGAATCGAACCCAGGACCTTTCGCATGCGGTTTTGCTTTTCTCTTGTCTTTTTGGAAGAAGGAGAGAAGAAGACCAGATGCTGCTAAGCGAACGCTCTACCAACTGAGCCACACCCCCGTTGAGGTATTTATGTTGGATTTGTATGGGGTGGTGGTGCGGTAATGGGGTTTAGGTATGCCGGGTTCTTGTAGGAGGGGCGTGGTTGAGGCCAGGGGATCCCTGGTTTGGTGATGGCCTCTGTTTTTGTGGTGGGGGGCTGGTGTGTTGGTGCTGGGATGTGTGCGTGCTGACACTGCTTGTGTGTTGATATCGTGGCGTGTGGGCGTGCGTGAGGGAGACTGCCCTTTTCCCGGGGATCGATCTTCTGTTTGCGAATGGCTGGAAAGACCAAAATTGGAATTCTCTTGTCCTCGTTCGATGCCTTGTCCCGGTCGTAGCCGAGGGCAAAAGGTACGACAATAAGGACGCGGAGACGATCCCGGTGTTTGTCCACCAAGGCCAAAGATCAAGAGTCCCTGATGTGTCCGACGCTAATCCCCACGCTTCGTTGTAGATCCCACCAGAGCCTCTGTGCATCTTGGAGGAACTGGAGACGATACACGTGGTAGAAACGCGCAATGGCAGAGTATCTTGGGAAGAGGGGGGTGCGTACCATTGCTACACCTTGTGTGCCAAAAGCATAGATGACAGCGCTTGGGGATGAAAGTCGGCGGTTATCGTAGCAGGAAGGGGGCTTTGGGTGTTGGCAATTACAAGGACTGGAGGGCGGAGAGTTCCGTCCAGAGGATGTGTGAATAAAGAGTTGAACCCCTGGTGGGGATCTGGGGTATGTCTTGTCGTGGCTCAATATTGTCTCTCATGTTTATATGAGAGTCTCGGGACGTGTGTGTGTTTAGGGTTTGCTAGGTGTCTGGGGAAGTGGTGTTTGCTGCCCTTTTGGCGATGTTGGTATAAGTCCAAGGACATGGACCCTGTCGAGTTGACTCTCTCGCTCTCTCTGAGCGTCCTGCTCTGGTGACTTGTCTCGTACGCGCCCGGCGATTCTACACATGGCGTCGTACGGTTAGCTGTGCGCCCGTAACTCTATTGTTATGTGCTAAACTTGATCACTGGCCGTGTTGGTCCAGGGTCGGTTGGTTCATCTCGAAGTCTGTTGGACGGGCACTCTGGCAAGGCCGATTCCACGAGCCGGTGCTGTGCCGCGAGGGTTATATATAGTTGGCAAGAACCTCGATGCAGATAGAAAGACCTTGCTAGAACGATTTCCTTGCTCAGTTACCAGCTAGAAATGAGACCTTTCTTCCTTCTTTGGGCCAGCAGTGCCTTGGTGGCTGCGAAAGCGTTGTCAGTACCGAATATCGCAGCGTCGGGCGCCTCATCTTCCCAGTCTGTCCATAATGCCGTGCCTCTCGGTTCGAGATTTCCCTCAAGCTCCGTCTCGCTCAACGACTTTCTCGCCCAACTCGCCCTGCTTTTCCCGTTCGACGTGCTCGTCCAAAACGCAGCCGACCTCACCCTCTTTGCGCAGAACGTCATCGCCAAGGTGTGGGATATCTCGACCACCCAAGACGCCATCGTCTGTGCCGACGTAACCATCGTTTTTGCTCGTGGGACCAACGAAGCTGGGAATGTGGGCGTCCTTGTCGGCCCCGAGTTCTTTGACGCCGTTGCGGCTCGGCTCGCCCCTAGAAGGACCATGGCCGTGCAAGGGGTCAACTATCCGGCCAGTATCCCCGGGTTCCTCCAAGGCGGTGATCCCCTTGGTAGTCAGCAGATGTCAGTCCCCCCTACCCCAGGAACGCTCCCAGGACATGTGTTCTGACAAAAAGGGGGACAGGGTACTCGACGTCCGTCGTCTTCTGGGAGGCTGCCCCAACACCAAACTCGTCTTGTCTGGATACTCGCAAGGCGGCCAGGTCGTACACAATACCGCCAACCTATTGTCAGCGTCAGCTCTTGCCAGAGTAAGCTCGACGGTGATTTTCGGCGACCCCAAATATCCGGCGCTGCTGGCGGGCATTCCCGCATCGAGACAACTGGTCATTTGTCACGACACAGATGACATCTGCGGAGGAGGGGACCTGATTCGCGCTTCGCATTTGGATTATGCAATGGACGTGGACGAGGCGGCGGATTTTGTCATGAGGTGGCTGTAGTGTAGGAGTAGAGACGTTGGAAAGGTGACATGTTGACTACCATCTACGGGTAGATCCGAAAAAGGGGGGAGTTTGTCATCCAGAGAGCCAAGAAAACAGTGCTGGCCGGGTTGCCGGGGCTTCTTTGTCGCGGGCCGCGGTATGGTCTGGTCAGAGAGCTGGTCAGGGGCAATGTGCGTAACGGGGCAGTGCCTGGCGTTTGCATCTCATGGCGCGGCTAATTGATAGGGGGGGGGGTGAGCAGTAAATGTCGAAGGTATGGATCGATTCATTGAGTTCGTTGTCTCGTCGCCTCCCGTTCAGCCCTGTCCGATCATGTCTGGGATAACCGAGTTTATATGTCTCGAAGTTCGGCTGGCCTCGAAATGCTGGAGAACCTGACTGAGTTGGGCAGGGAAATGCCGGCCCAATTGTCGACGAGGGTTGTTTCGTCATCGTGTCCCACGCGAGGGGTTTTGTTGCCGTTGGGGGTGTTGGGACGAGAACTGGACCATTTCCCCTCAAGGAACCAAATGTAGTGGTGTTCATGCAGAGACTCGTCGACGGCGAGCAAGAGAGCACAAAGGTCCAAAATAGATTTGGCGTATTTACCATTCAGTTTTGGCCCTCGTCATATTGAAGACACCCATGTAGTGAACATGGATGTGAACATGAGGGTTGGTGCTTGGAAAGGGGAAGAGAAAAACATGGTGACCCCAGACCCTCCCCTCCGTTAAGTAGAGACATGGAATTCTTTGGCTACAGGTCTTGGAGCCCCAAGGTTGCGCGTGGTTTCGGAATGGCCGAGGTCCCGTGCTAACGTGCAAACAAGCAACAAAAAAGGTTCGCCGTTCCAGGCCTGATTGGGCGCTGTGGACTTCCGAGTCGGCGCTGCCCAGACTGATGACCGCTGCACAACTGCGGGGCTTGCTGTTGCGCGCTGGAGACACCCGCCCCTGGTCCCCTCGCCTCCACCCTCCACCCTCCGCCCGGATTGTCTTCCCAACGACCTGAACCGACAGTCGCCGCAGTCCGACCTTGGACTTGTCAACCTCTCCTCGTTTCCTCGCCCACAACAGTTGATCTGTCGGCAATCCTCGCCATCGCCATCGACAATCACTTGCCCTTTGGCGTACCTCCCTCCTTTCCTTCGTACCCTACCTAGAACCTTGGCTTGATTCCTCCCCATCGCCGACTCCTTGGGCGCCCGCTGCATTCTTCCCTCTTCCCTCTCTTCCTTCTTCCATCCCCCGCGGCACCGCACCTCGTTCCACGCCCAAAATGTCGTGGAAACTCACCAAGAGTAGGTTCTTCCCCGCCATCGATCGTTTGTCTCCCCCTAGCATCGTTGGCATCATCTGTCGCCGCACCGGGAGCGGCGCGTCAGGCCTTGCATCGAGCGCCTTTTTGGCTGGGAGTACCTGCTGACATATGATGGTGGGCAGAATTGAAGGAAACCCATCTGGGACCCCTCACCAGCACCTTCTCGCGCTCCCCCTCCACCTCTACCATCACAGACAAGGACAAGAGCCCCGGAGGCCTTGCCGGATCCGCCACCCCGACCGAGGAAAATGCCATCGGTGAGAGCAACTCCCCCAAGCCCCCCTTTTTAGTCGCCGACCGCTAACATCGGTTTCGCGTAGCTGCCTCCGAGGCCTTGACCCAAGCGCCCGTGATAACCCCCAAGCCCGGCATCCTCGTCGTCACCCTCTTCGAAGGCCAGGGCTTCTCGCTCCCCGAGGCCCACCGAGCATCCTTCAACTCGAGCCACTCGGCTAACTCCCATTCGGCTGGAAATGCGCTCAGCAGCGTAGCAGGCTCCATGCGGCCGGGGTCGTCGTCCCGAGCCGGCAACTTCATGAGCGGAGGACGACCGCAGACCTCGGGCGGATTCAGCGGCCTGCCTACCAATCACGGCCGCATCTCGTCCAAGTTCATGCCCTATGCCCTGATCGACTTTGACAAGGTCCAGGTCTTTGTCAACTCGGTCGAGGGCACCCCCGAGAACCCCTTCTGGGCCGGTTCCAACACGCAGTACAAGTTCGATGTGTCGCGCGTGTCGGAGCTCACGGTCCACCTCTACCTCCGAAACCCCAATGCCCCGCCGGCCTCGGGGAGAAGCCAGGACATCAGCCTCGGCTCGGCCCGCATCAACCCCCGATTCGAGGAGAAGTCGCACTTTGTCGAGGACCCCAAGGCCAGCAAGAAGGATCGCGAGAAGGCGGCCGCCGAGTTTGCGAGCCGAGAGCGGCAGATGGGCCAGAGCGGCGCCGAGTGGATCAACATCCAGAACGGAACGGGCATGATCAAGGTCGGTGTCGCATACGTCGAGAACCGGGCTGGCAAGCTCAAGATTGAGGACTTTGAGCTGCTCAAGGTGGTGGGCAAGGGCAGCTTCGGCAAGGTGATGCAGGTGCGCAAGAAGGACACCAACCGAATCTATGCGCTCAAGACGATCCGGAAGGCACACATCATTTCGAGGTCGGAAGTGGCCCACACCCTGGCCGAGCGGTCCGTCCTTGCGCAGATTAACAACCCCTTCATCGTGCCACTCAAGTTCACCTTCCAGAGCCCCGAGAAGCTCTACTTTGTTCTCGCCTTTGTCAATGGCGGCGAGCTCTTCCATCATCTACAAAAGGAGCAGCGATTTGACGTTCACCGCAGTCGGTTCTACACGGCCGAGCTTCTCTGTGCCCTCGAGTGTCTCCACGGATTCAACGTCATCTACCGCGATCTCAAGCCCGAGAATATCCTTCTCGACTATCAAGGTCACATCGCCCTGTGTGATTTCGGTCTCTGCAAGCTGGACATGAAGGACGAGGACCGCACTAACACGTTCTGCGGAACCCCCGAGTACCTGGCGCCGGAGCTGCTCATGGGCAACGGCTACAACAAGACGGTGGACTGGTGGACCCTGGGAGTCCTGCTGTACGAGATGCTGACGGGTCTCCCTCCGTTCTACGACGAGAACACGAATGAGAT